GTTTACGTTTAAATAACACTACTCATAATTTCAGTAATACTTAGAGTTCTGACATCCTATCCTCACTGATGCTCATGAGCATCTTGGGAAGTAACTAAAAGAATGAGCTCCTGGAAATTAACTTTCTCTGAGGAGTGGCTGGGCTCCCTTAAGGGGAAGAGCTCAGTCATTTGGGTGGGACTCCAAGCACAGTCTCTACTCCTTCATAACAAAAGGAACTATTTACCAGATTAATTAGTATACCTCCCAGGTCAGGTGTTTTAAGCCTATTCTACAAGCAGGAGGCCTGTGCAAACTCAGGCCACCCTGGAACGGTGGCTGGGCAGAGGGAGTTCTCTCTAGGCATCTCTGCTTTGACTCACGATCCAGATAAGCGATGGATGGATGGAAACATAAAAACGTAAAACTACAGCGCCATTGTAGTAACAATATTGTTACTGCCTTACATTTCCTTTCAAAAACATTACATTTGATAACATTGTAAGAAAATTGCCCCAGCTTTAGCATAAAGTCGCAGTTATGGCTGTTTAATACACTATATTTATGTTGTTCTAAGGTGGTAGGGTGGTTAGCACATTTGCTTTGCAAGATCAAGGTTGCTTTTTTGATTCAGGTCAGACACATAAAGTCTCTTTGGTAAAACTGTCAAATGAAACATTAGTATCAAACAAGTAGCTTTTCTTTGATATTGATTCAATGGGGCAGAAAAGTCTCTGAACGGTCCGGTGATCATACAGCTGTCACTATGTAAGCAGTTGCAAATTATGACAAACGCAACATTAACATAACATAATGTGTGTAAGGAACACAGTAACTTTTTTCTGTCTAAAGTCTCAGTTATTCAAACATACATATAAATAAAAGAAATAAGACAGAAAGAAAGTACACTGTCAGTGGTTCCACATTGTAGTAATTATTATATATTAGCCTCATTTATAAGCAAAAGCTCCCTGGTTTGAGACTGGGAGAAGATACAAATCTAGTTTCACGAGGTCCCAAGCTGGAAAAATGGGAGGGTTGCATCAGAAAAGGAATCCGATGTAAATCTGTGACAAAATCTACGCAGCCAAGAGTATCACAGTTTATCACTGTATGCTGTGAGCAAATTTTAATAACATTTTTAGACTCTGTTGGTTTGCATTTTTTTTTAAAACTCTGTGTACCAAATATTTCATCAGCACTTTCTTTTTGCTCGTTGTATAAAAATAACTACCGTTGCATTATTTCAATTATCAATAAAAACATGAGGATTTAGGCTCAAGTTCTTGTTATCGGATTCAAAATTTTCCCTATGTGGTCCTATGAAACATATGTGCAAACTAATAATTCTTTGTAATAAAAAGAAATTAAATGCAGTAACAGCTAAGTTCAGGTTACTAGAGGAGTCTGTTAGAAAAAGTAACTGCTAAGTTTATTCTGACCTGAAATCAAGATGAAGGAATAAGTTCTCCCTTCAAGCAAATGTGCACTGGATTTTTAACAGGAGAAAAGCTGATACAGTTTTTCATGAGTAGAAAGAAGAAAAAGTTGCAAAACCACAGGTATTATTCCTCCAAACGTTGGCTACAGCTGGCATCCAGCTCTTACTGTATTAAATACTCTTACAGTATATAAAAAACTATTATTTTACATCAACAAGCCATCATAAACATCAAATCCAGGTTGCAAAACCATCTTAACGTAATAAAACCTATTTTAACTGTAGTAAGAACTTACCATGAATTTTCCTCGACAAGATTTCTCAGTTAGTCCATTTATTCTTCATCAGCTCTTCCTTTCTTATTTTCTTATTCTTATTTTTCAAGCAAAAAACTTAAAGTCAAATCTTCTGTGCGAACATTACAAAGAGCTACTTTTGCCATTGAAGTCTAGACTTATAGGGTAAATCAAACTTGGCATCGACATGTGTTGGGATAGGACAATTTTACACATTTTACCATCTTTTTCAGAAATAGATATTATTTTTTATAAAATAGTAACATCTCTCAGTGTTCTCATGTTTTATATTGCTTTGAGTGGTTTGTAAAGCACTGCATTCTGTTTTTATTTACATTTTACACAATACCCAACTCTTTAAGAACTGGGGATGAAAAAGATTTTTCAAAAACAAGAACGGTCTAATTTACAAGGTTGACAAAATTTCTAGGGTTAAAAAGCAAAGCCAACACTGCCTTAAACTTCTATTCTTTTTAATGAGCAGGAGTTGAGTAACTCCTTTGGCTGCAAATTGACTTCCTGTTGTGTGGAAAAATGGTCCTTGACTCCATTTCTTTTTGAGCTCAGTGAACACTTTCGGATGAACTCTGTGGGCTCAGTTACTAGTTTCCAGTTGGCTGGGGCCAGCAGTCTTGTTTCACTGCAGGCTAATGTCAATGCACATGTAGAAAACATGGTCATATTGCTTTTATTGAGTGGTTACAGGTTACTCTGACACAGCCTTCATGCAATATCACATAGATATTAAAAAATGCTGTTGTCTGTGGCTAGTTGCAGGTGGTGTTGCAACATCTTGTGAAAAAAAAGCAAATAACTGGTTTTGTAGATTCAAATTATGAATTATTAGTCCAACCTACTACTACTTCTGCTACCCAATGTTGGGCTTTGGACTAGTCAGCTAGCTACCCACAAGTTCCTCCATTATTGCATTTTTAAACCACACACCACAAGCACAAGTTAGATATAACCAAGGAACACTGCACACTTGTTGGCTATTGATTTGTCAATCACATGGTAAAGCAAACTCTGCTTTAACCTCTTCTTTAGCTCTAATAGTAACCATATTTGCAAAATGAGCTTTATGTTGTATGAATTTATTGAAACTAAGAGAGGAGACCATAAACTCAAGGGGCTACTTCCCAGTAAAGTTCAATCAGAATTCTATCAGACCAAAAGAAGTCATTCCCCTGCTGGCAATTGGAAAAATGCAGGTTGAAGGTAAGAGTGAACAATACCTGTGAAAGAAGCGTAGCAAGAAATTAAGTGAAGTAATGCAGTTGTTTTTAATGAGAAAGAAAGATACGTAATTAATATGGAACAAGGGATGAAATGTAATGACTTAATTACTGTACATCTGCTCAAAAACAGGTAAAAGGTGAAGCTTAATAATAATAATTAGTATTATTATTTTTGTTACTATTATAATAATGAACTTTTCAACAACAATAAAAGCCACTTGCTAGGTAAGATATTAGCACCAAAAATAAATGAGGATATAAGAATTAAAAAATGTCTGTGTGATTTAACACAGAATACTTCAATACTTCAGCCAACTTCAACAGGTTCGTTCCTACTGATGCTGTTGAATTTATTGTGTTTTATGTGAAATTCTCTCAGTAAATTAATTATATACTATGTGTAGTTGTCATCATTAAGGGTGCTGGTTGGTTGATTTTTTGTAACTTTCTGACTTGCTGTCTCCCTCTGAATCCAGTCTCTATGATAAGCTATAACCTAACTGTGGTAAGTGAACTTAATTTCACCTCCATATAGCAGGGACATGAGTACATATTGTCAGCTACTCAAGCACTATCAAGGCAAACCTTAATTCTTACAGGTCTCCAAAATATTCAGACTTATGATGAATTTCCAACTTTCCCCACAATAATAAAGGGATTATTTTTTGTATTCAATGATTTAAAAAAAACATGTAGTAAACGTGAGTCTTTTTTCCCTTTTTTTCTGCTGCCTATTTCACAGTAAGAAATTACAATGTGTGACTCAACAAATTTCTGTAGTAAATTATCCTAAAAAGGCTGTTAAGATGTTAAAATAGCACATGCATCACAGGCTTAGAGTCACCACAGGATTTATCACAGCTTCTTTTATGTGGTGCTGCATCATATGAATTCTTTGTAAGGGGTTTGTTTGTTTATTTGTTTGTTTGTTTTGCTGCTGATACAACCAAATTTCCCCTTGTGGGACAATTAAAGGATTTTTCTATTCTATTCTATTTTATTCTATTCTATTACAGATGAGTATATGTAAAAAAAAATCCACTTCAGAATACATAATAGTAAATATTTCATACATCTGTGCCTCCTGTTGGCACTCAGCTGATTCTAATTAAATTTTAAAGACAGAAACTCTGATGTGAGGTGGGTCCTCTTATTGCACCGTTAGTAATGTAGGTAAATGTTTCATGGCTCTTCTCTGTGATGGATCATTGTTGATACTTTTACTGTCCATTCTGAGTCGGTTATAAGAGGTGAAGTCCTTTATCAATAGTGGCAAACTTTTAATTTTAACTCTCTGAAGTTAGCTCCTGAAAGGTATCTCGACTGAGGCCGACTGCTTTTATCTTTTCCACCCTGTACGGATACTTTTACTCGAGTAAAGGACCTCAGTGCTCGTTTCCACCTCTGCTGGTGATGTCAGACAGCGGCTGGGTCATGTGAAGGGCAGCAGCGGAGGAGGAGGTTCACGGAGAGTTCACTCGCATACATTAGGTAACACCATCGGTCGCTGTGACATAACTAGTATGAAGCAGGTTGAATTGAGACATTTGTCAATAAAGAAGAGATAAGTGGAAGAAGTTCTGCAACAAACTTTGTTATGCAAAGCAGCCTGAATGCGCTTTACCGATGCTCTCTGATGGAGGACTACAGCCCGCTGGCTGCGCATCAACATGCAGTTTGTGACCATCTGTGGGAAATATAGGTTTGTTCCTGCTCCCCTCTGAACATAACGCAGACATGCTTCAGTGTTAACACAGTTTGCATCAAGTGGGTTTTAAACTACTTCGGTGCAGAGATAAATCACCCTCTCTGAAGGATTTTCCTATGCCGACGACATTCCCATACGGACTTCACGGAGACTCACGACAGATCATGTTCGACTATATGGAGTTTCAAGTTTTCGGACCCGGGGAAATCGTGGACTTCTACAGCACTTCCAGTCCTTCTTGCATGTTGCAGGAGCAAGACCAGGATTTGGCAGCGTTCTTCCCCGAGCTGATCGAGTCCGACTGGCAGGAGCACCGGTACTCGCAATGTAGGTGAAACTGAGGATGAGTGATGTTGTGGTGCGCAGAAAGATCCTAATTTGTTTCGGTGTCCAGTGGAAAAAATATATAAATTCAATTCAGATCAATTCACTTTTATTTGTATAGCGCCAAATGCCTCGAGGGGCTTAATCCTCTGAAGAGAAACCAGAGTAAAGCCATGTGATTTTACTGACATTATTTCACCCAGAATGAGAAACACCCACGTTTGCCTCCATCTGTGCAGGATATCCTCCAACCTGAAACCTCAAAAGGTTCTCAAAACGAATTTATATTAAGGGAATTTCTTACCAGTTTAACCAGAATTTATAAAGCATCAAATCTGTAAACTGTAAAAGATTACAGTAAATATTTAAACAAACTGGGGGGGATAAAGGTAGAGTTTAAAAAAAGAAACATGTATTACATGATAAAAGAGTGTTTCTTATTACATTGACATGGAGTGTAATTGTTTAAAAAACCTGTTATAATGTACTTTAATACCTTAACAAACTGGTGCAAGACTGTGAATACATGCAAGTTTAAATTCAGAGCAGACACTGGAAGCAAACCAGTGCAAGGGTAGTTTTCTCTTAGTTTATGACTTCAGTATTGTATTTAATCAAATGTGCATTTAGCTTTTTATTTAGATATTTCTACTTTCAAATCATGAAATTGTGATTTGATTGTGTTTGCAAAGGGATGCATTTATATAACACGTTACTAAATTCGTACTTTAAACTAACATCCACATTAACATACCTGTACAAACATAATGGACTTTAAGCCCCTTATCCCTCTAGGATCAACACACACACCTTCAAAGTAAAGCCCAAGGACGATTTGAACCCAGAAACTTCTTGCTGGTATTAACCGCTGCACCGACCATGATGAAACTGGACTTCATCATATTGTGTATCAACTGCTATTAAATGGTCACAAGCTGCCTTTTAATATTTAAAGGCTGAGATAAAATGAAGCGTTATCTATTCTACATTCTTGTGTTCTGTATCTAAATGCTTTGACGCTTTCCGGGAGCCTCTTTTCTCTTAATAGATAAAGGATGTGAGAAGAAAGTGAAAACAGACTACTGAGCACATGGCAGCTAATGTCTGTGTGGTCGTCTTAGTCTGTGTTTGGGTCTGTCCAGGGACGGTCACTTTGGTGTCACCCTGGGTTCACCGGACGGTCACCGGCTCAAGAGGTCAGAGGAGAGTCAGACTGTTGCCAAAAGTGGAAGTAGCATTTTTAGTGGAATTAAGCATCAGTACAGCAATTTAAAAAAATAAAATGTCAATAGTTAAAGTACTCATCCTGGAGTACAACCTGGAATTTGGGAAAACCTGGAAACTAGGCAAGAAAAACTATTAGACTTTAGATATTTTGGTCCTTCTGATCAGGTTTGGGTTTTTATTCTCCCTCCCACAAATAATAATAATAAAATTTTTATTTTAGCAATAGAACATACAATAGCATGTTAGAAATGGGAACAGAACATACATAAATGGACTTTACAAAAACAAAATAAAACTATATAACATTTTATTTTTTAGTGTAATCACTGAATTGCTATTTACTCATATGATGGTAAATATCTGTTGTTTTAGTCAGTGCAAGCAAAACTGCCACAATGTGGCTGTTTCCAACTTCTTTCTATATGACAGAAAATAAAATATTGTTGTGTAATAAACTGAACTCTGACAAGTTATGATGACCACATTTCATCTGTTTCTGACATTTCATTGGATAATCAAGAAAAAGATTATTCTAGGTCAGAAATAACTTTGAATTAACCTGATAATTATTATCATTACTGATAAATCTGCATACCGTTTTCCCTTGAAAAAAATATTCAAATGTGAATTTAACTGACAATAATTTCACAATAAGAAAAGAAAAAAATCAGTAACTATATTACAGTTGATAATCTGTAAATGTAATTTTTGTTTGTCATGATTTAAACAGTTTAGCTGATTGTAGCAAGCTAAAAAAACATTAGAAAAATAGAAAGTTCCTTTACCGAAGTTTGCAGGTTGCATAACAGGCAACTGAGGTTATTCACAAAAATAAAGGGTGAATCCCTGCTTTCAGTATCACTAATAAATAACCCAGCAGGCTTCAAGCAGCATGCGGCCGTAATAATTAAGCTTTACTAGTCTTTAATACCAAGTCAAGCATTTGTTATTTTATCCAGCTACATGTTGCAGCTCCTGTCTTACTGTAAACCACAATCAAAGGCTTTTAAACTTATCTCTGCCTCCAAAATCTTTTAATGTTTTTCTAGATTTATTGTTTGACTCAAACAGTGCATTGTAGTATACATCAAACAGCACCATCTAAATTGGGATGGGGGCAACCCTCTTTCCCCTACCAAATCACTTACACCGCCCTGCCACACACACTTTCTGTTTCTCCGTCCTCCCTCTCATCAGTCAGTTGGGCTTGTGGCATGCTCCTGCATTGTTTTGGATCTGGGGAGCAATCGGCCTGATGGGGGTGTCCTAGTTTGACCCGCCGATTCCAGGTTCAACCAGAGGCCACGGATTCAAGGGGATGGATATGAACAATTTTTCTCGTTTTGTCCCCTTTTCAAAACAGCTTTCTTGGTTTTGTGTCAGGGCTGGAGCAGCAGAGGTGATCAGAGAGCCAGCAGGGAGGCCGAACGAGCCCCCTAGGCCAGACAAAGTATCTTCTTGGAAATGGCTTTAAAGTGGGAGTGTTGAGTGCTGTGGTGGATGTGAAGTGAAACATTCAGTGGAAAAAATGCTGTGCTACAGTAGGTCACCACATGTGCAAAGCTGTAGATATATTACTGCGTCTGTTTGTGACTCATTTTCAAATTTATGAAGCAGAGATGTGATACATGCCTGTTTAATTTTATTTGTGTAAACTGAGCGTTGTGTTTGAAGTAGTGGGGCTGTACAGATCATGCTATAATCTGCCACAGAAAAAAAGCAAGATTAGTCTGCGCTTGGCTCAGTGAAGGAATCACAAGGTGATTTCATCAAAAAGTTGGTTGCTCAGGTCTGATCGGCTACGATCAGTGCCTGAATATATGTGTGACCACTCTCAGGGGCCAGTGTAGGGTCAATCTATCCTATTGTCACGACTAAAAATTAACAGAAGGTGCTTTGTATATTTGGACACAATAAAGCTTTTTTCGTTCCTTTGTTGTTTTGGGTAAACAGGCCCGAGACTTGAAGCGTTTTCTAGGATTTTAAATCACTAACTTAACATGATAACATTGTCAGATGGGCCACAATAAATAAAAATGCATTGGCATGAACTGCAGGTCACAAGTGCCATAATTTGCCATATCTCTCACACAGCAGTTTGTTCTTCTGTGTCCTGTTAGTGAATGTGGAATGAAAACCGAACATTCTTGAAACCTTATTGTTATAAAAACTCTTCTGAAGCATGCAAGCAGTCCACTAAATAACCTCTACATTTTAATACAATCTGCCTTTTGCATTTCTGAGCTCTGTTTGCTTCATCATGTCAGAAATGGTTCATCAGTAATTTTCAACTCATCACTAAATGTTGGTATTTCTACTTGTTAGGTCTGCTTTGAGGAAAACTTTAGAATGCTTTGCAGATAAAAGGTCTAAAGTACATTTCATGTATGGTGATAATTATTTTTGTTACTGCTTATTTTGTTGACAGGTTTCTCGCTGTATATATTAGACAAATATAAAGCTTAACAAGTAAATAATTTCATTTTAAAAACTGTGCAAGGCAACAACTTATGTTACAAAATGAATAAAAGCTTCATCTGTAATGAGTAATTTTTCATGTTCTGACTTCTTGTTGCAGCTGTTATTTCCCAGCAATATTTCAGCTTCAGTATTTAAATGATGCGCTGAGTTTGATATCCATTTGAATAAATTTAACTGTCGCAGTTTTATTCTCCCTGAGATGCTCGTTTGATTTTATATGATTTTGTGTGTTTTTCAGCGGTGGAAAGTCAGAGTTCCAGCTCCAGCTTCAGCTCGGACGACCTGTTTACCCGTCCTGCCTCACCACCTCCACCTCCACGCACTTACAAACCCTGCTTTGTGTGTCAGGACAAGTCCTCGGGCTACCACTATGGAGTCAGCGCCTGCGAGGGCTGCAAGGTAACACGTCAGGCCGGTGGTCTGCTTTACAATGCCCCCTCTGTTAAGCTTAGCTAAAATCCCAGACTTTGTCTTTTAAAAGTAAGTCCCTGTGTCATGCTTGTATTTACAAGATGGTCTTAGTTTTTCTTACTAATCTCCTAAACAGATAAATGAACAAATACCTTCTTAATATGCAAAATGTGACAATATCATATGTTTTAGTTTTTTCCTGTATAAATTCACAATTTTTTTTTACCTAAATCGGTTCAAATTAAATGAACCACTGGATAGACAGACACAGTATTTGTTTTTGTTTTTTCTTAATCCATTTTCCTTTTCTTTCTTTTTTTTTGAAGACCAAACAAATCAATTTAACTCCTTGTTTGAGTTAAATATCTGAAATACATTTAAACAGGCTAAATATTTACTCTTTAGGTGTAAAGGAGTAAATTTAGGAATAAATTAATCTTTTTTGTCTAGCTTTAAAGTCCACACAGGCATTTATTCACATTGTAGCAACTTAATAGCTTAATTAATTAATATCTTATCATTCATTTATTGTGCTGGTGTCTCTGCAGGGCTTCTTCCGCCGCAGCGTGCAGAAAAACATGGTGTATACCTGTCACCGCGACAGGAACTGTATCATTAACAAGATCACCAGGAATCGCTGTCAGTACTGTCGGCTGCAGAGGTGTTTCGCTGTAGGAATGTCTAAGGAGTGTAAGTGTCACATCCTCTCTGATTCACAGCAGGCCTCGTGGGATTTAGAGTCAAAATTAAACCTTTCTTTTAAAATGATTCATCTGCTATTACAAACACGACTAAAAGGTCAGTGCAGTCATGTTCTCAATTTGAATGACCAACTCAAGTTTATCAGCATGTAAAGAGCTGGTCAGTTTGTGAGTGTGGTTTACTCAAAGTTATTTGTGTCAAGTTTTACATAATACTGGGTTTGTGGTTTCGTTGGGATGACTGAGTGTTCAGAAATTTGATATAAGGAAACTGCGTATTTGAGAATTGGATATTACGGAGCCCCTCTGATGACATGGTCCAAACAATAAATAAATTGTGGGCACAAAATAGTGTAACATGCCCACAAAATACTTATTTGTGGCTACGAAATATTATTTCGAGGGCACGAAATAGGTATAACGTGCGCACAAAATGCTAATTTGTGGGCACAAATTGGGTATAACGTGGCAACGAATTACGCATTTGTGGCAATAAAATAGATAATGTGCGCACATCATATTGATACAATTCCTGGACAGCTGCATAGAGACATAAGCATAAGAGTAGGCTAAACCTATACATCATGGACAGAGACAGTATGATTGACTTTTATTTTAGGCTGGGAATGAGCTACAAATGCATTTTGAAGCCTGGCAATGCAAGGAACCATTATTACGGAGAGACATTTAAACAGGATATTGAGAGCCCAGTTGCTTTACAGACGTAAGTACGACCTGGACGCTGGGATAGATTTTATTGTCAACCAACTGCAAGGGCCTCACGGGAAGGATCTGCAAGGGAAGGATCACGGTTATGTCAAGGTCAAGTGTTTCGTGCCCACAAATTAGCACGTTATACCTATTTCGTGCCCTCGAAATAGCATTTCGTGGCCACAAATAAGTATTTCGTGGGCACGTTATACCATTTCGTGCCCACGAAGTAGTATTTTGTGGCCACAATTTATTTGTTTTTTGGACCATGTCATCAGAGGGGCTCCGTAGGATATAACTGTGTAACCTTAGACAAATAGTGCAGTACAAAAGAAACTCTCTCCATCCAACAACCTATTTTCTCACCAGCTTATCTTACTCTGGGTCATGGAGGGGGAGGCTTTAGCCTATCACAGCTGACTTTAAACGAGAAATCCTCCCTCTCAAGTTTAAATGGTTTCATCTTACTGAGATACTCTGATAAAAACTGCCACATAAGCGGCCTATTTATTACTGCACAATCAGAGCAACAAGCTATGTATTGAAGTTTTAATGCAATTTGTTGTTACCTATATGGTGGTAAACATGCACAAATAAGGGACAGATTGTTTCCCATAAAAGGTGCCTGCCATTAAAACTACATGTATGTTAAAAATGTCTTATTTCTGTCGATATTAAAGAAATAACAATATAACAAAACAAAATAAGCAGGAAAATGCTCCTCTTATTGATCTGTGGTAATCTATATTCAAGAAAGTCTTTTTTCAGAAAAAGTTTAAGCTAAAGTGGAAGAAAAAGAAATTAAACTTCTTTTGTCAATTCAAAATGCATAATGTTGTAATATATTGTCTGTCAGCATATTTAGAGTCTTTATTGTTTAATTGTAACTAGATAGCACTTTAAGACTGAAAATTCATAGTTTTGTTTGTCAGAGAGAAAATATATAAAATCTAGAATAACAAACGCATATATACGACCAAGGTAATGCATATTAAAGCAAACTAAATTATAGCTACATAATAAAGGTGTAGCTTAAGAACTGCTGATACACTCTTGAGCTCTCAAAGGGAGTTTTAATGCTTTGTCATCTTAACAACCCAAGATTTTCATTTTGTTAGTGGGTTAGGAAATATTTTTTTTTGTGTGGTAACTACAAACGTCTTTATTTTAGAATATATAATTAGTTGTAAGTGAGAAAAATGTGCAAATAACACTTTAACATATGATTTTCTCTTTTTTTATAAGTTCTCTGTGAAGTACAGCAGCTCTCGGGCACAGGGACTGTACAATAGAAACAAAGGCTCTAATACCCAGCAGTGCAGTGACCTAAATAACTGAGAATGTGTTATGTGGAATGAGCAAAGGGCGGCGACAGGCCGACACTGAAGGATCCACCCATCCACATGTTTTCATTATAGTTTTTCTATGCTCAAACAAGTTACATAAACATATCACATGTAGTGGACAGATGGATGCTATGTAACTGCTCTCAGGCAGCGTGTAACATGATCTCTATTGGAGTGTTTACACAATGACGGCTGGATGTAGGGCATACACAGGGAGGAGGAAGAGGAGGAGGAGTGGTTGGAGTTAAGTGTTGCGTAATCCTGAGCTTTCCTGACATGTGTGTAGCCGTCTGAGGCAGTGGGACACAGAGAAACGTGTTGACACTGTTCCCGAAGTGATTATGAAAAGCTAACCTGGTTACGCTGCTTTCACGTGCAGCCTGGAATAACACATAAGTTCAGTGACACATGCTTTCATTCCAGAGTGATTTATACCGGGAAGTGGTTAAAATTATTAAGAACCAAAACTGAAATTCCAGTGAGCTCTATTTAAATCACACCTGATGTCTAAACATCGTTAAGGTAAAATGGGTTAAAACCGCCATTCATATACTGGTGAATGCAGTCTCCTGGGTCCTGATTAAAGGAACAGTGGTGTTTGGCTGATGGTAAGATCAGGGATCTGCCAGGGAACACTATCTGTTGCAGGACTTCCTGTTTTTTTGTTGTTTTATACAGAGCTATGTCAGATTACAAGAAAAACTAACATAGAGGTCAATGTTTCTTCGCTGAAACTCTGCTTAAAGGATGAAGACAATTTTTCATAAGACATCCCCGTTTCATACAACTTATTGATACACATGTGTCTTCACAGTACTTACATCGGTTGTTTATTGTCTATCTTGGAGCACTGAGAGTTTTTGCTCTCAGCTCTTATCCACCAGTGTACTTTACATCCTTGGATCACATTGTGTGCTTTTGTCGTTTCCTTGACTAAAACACTGATGCAGCCTTATTTGTCAGGTGATTCTTGCTTTGCCTCCAGCTTGCTTACTGACTTACATTAATCAAAGTCAAGTGTGGGACGTTATTGACTTTTGTCCCGAGTCTCCTAACTTCTGTCTGTGCAGAAAGTCAACACTGAATTTGAAAAAAATAGTACGGCTCCTGCTTCTGGAGTCAACTGCAAAATCAGCTAATCTTTAGGATCTGGTCTCAAAAAAGGAGTCTGACATGATTTTAAGTGATCAGGATATACATACAGACAGACAATTACCTAAACTTGTGTTTTTGGTCAGTTTAGTTTAAAGATGAACATTGTATAGCACATTAATTTTAAACTTCCATAGGAGTTTAAGTGGGTTGAGTTATGTTCATCCTAAAGTTGAAACCTTTAAATGAGGAAGGTTGTCATCCTGTTAGAGCGTGCTACAATTGTGATATAAATCTTTAATTAAAGGATAAATTTAATCACTAAGAACAGCTGTTTTCATTTTCAGTGATTCATTGCTCTAGGGGCACTAATGAACCTAATGAACCTAAATCATGCTACCAAAATGCCTCCCGTAACATATCAGAGCCACTAGATCACCTCACTGTAGGGACCATTTATCAGGTTGTTTCTTCATTTGTATCATTGTACGATTTTTCCTGTGTATTTGGCCTCAGACAGAAAACAAAAAAAACAACTTTTTTTCATATTAAACACTTTTTTGTTCTTTTAAAAGGTTAGTTTATTCACTTGAGCATTTTTAATATAAATACTCAAAATTAAAGAAGGTGTTTTGTAACATTAACATTTATTTAAACAGAGAATGATACCAGTTTAACCAATTTTAAACCACCTGTGGAACTGCTCGAATACCTTATTTCCTAATCATCTTATGCTCTGCGTCATCCGTGTTCCCCAGCGGTGAGAAACGACAGAAACAAGAGGAAGGGGAAGAAGGAAGCAGTGAAGATGACCATCATGGAGACGTACGAGCTGACAGCAGAGCTCGGCCTGATCGTGGAGAAAATATGCAGAGCTCATAGAGAGACCTTCCCCTCCCTTTGCCAGCTGGGAAAATACACCACAGTAAGTCCGGACATGAAGCTAACGTTTCAAAACAATAATCTTTACAGAAGGAAGACAACCTGCAAAGAGGAAAAGATCAAAGCTGTGAGGTCTGTCCAGCACTATTATGATTTTAATTGACTTGGGTAAACATTGTATGGATGTGTAGATGAAGGAGAATTTGAACTTATATGGCAGAAACTGAAAAATAAGATTATATATCCCAAAATGTTGATACATTTTACTTATTTTAAACTACATATGAAAAAATGTCTATTTTTCGAATGTGATTGATGACCTCGCTAAACCCTTTCCTGATGATTTTGGGCTTTCAATCACTATTTTCAAGTTTTAAAGCAAAAACAATATTTATTTTTTAAATTATGCTGCTCGTAATTATGATAAAGTAGGGCAGATTAGACGGCAAAGCTGCCTTGTGACTGATGAAAATGACGGTATGTTTGTGCATCTTCCTTCATCTGGTTGTATTACATGGAAAAGACTTGAAACCAAATGGTGGCTCCATGGTTGTTATGTCCTCGTTTTATAGTCTGTGACCGAAAGAAGAAAGATGTTGACTGTCAGGGCAGTGACATTTAAATACTTGATATATGATTAATATTACCAGACAAAAACGGACAGCATTGAATACTCACTGCTGCATGCCTGGCTCATGGTCGGTCACTGTTGGATATTGTTAACACTGTCTGTAAAAACACATTCACCAAGGAGAGATCAGCAGAGCTGAGATGACAGACACTTATATTTGTGTCTGACACTTATAAACTGATACGTTTCTATACCTTTTTATTATTGATATGCACAAACTTTATTTAAATGATAACAGTCTTATTGGCAACTCAAGCTTTCATCTCTTTCATTATCTTAAGCGCATTAAGCCCATTTAGAATCACAGTTTCACCAAACATGCCTATTTTAACGCTGTGGGTTAAGAGGAGCGCTCAGGGAAAAGCCACCATGCCAACAGACTGCACATCCAGAACCTTCTTGCTGTGAGGCAACAAGCTAACCTCTGTTCCTCTTTGCTTATGCAGAGTAAAATTTGTTAGATTGTTTGGTAACATTTGAGACTCTGATTGTTAACAAAACCAAACAGACTCCTGATCACATTCAATGCCAACATGAGGGAAGGGGTGCAAACATGCACTTTTATTTAGGAACACATGTATACACATACATGCATATATATATATATGTAACTACCTGTAACATAAAAATCGTTAGCTGCCCTCTGTTGCCTCTGGAGCTGCCAGTTCCTCCTGTCTCAGAAAAACTAGGGCCATCACAGGTGACCCTTGCATTGCGCCCACCACCTGTTTGACCCACTGCCCTCCGGACGGCACCTCAAGACAGTCAGGTCCCACACCTTCAGCCTCACAAACAGCTTCTACCACTGGGCCATTTGAACTGTAAACAAACACTATTAAACTATCACACAAACCCCACCCCTAACACCCACCCACCAATCTGGGCGGAGCACCCACTCTATTCTATTCTAACATATAGGTACTGCCAATACTTACAGTACACACAATTTGCTATGTCTTCCAACATGTACAGTATGTCATGTGAGCATTTTTCTTTAGAGAAAAGGAAAACTGAATATAGGTCCACACTGAAAAAAAAAAACAACTCTTTTTTAAGATATGCTGGTGAAGATGTTGATTTGCACAGATTTAACTGGTTTATTCTTTGTTAAAAGGCAAAGTAAAAGAGGAGGAGAAAATAAAGGAGTGTGTTGTTTATGTAAACATGTCCTTAGAAACTGAAAAAACTGTACATATCATTATGACACTTACCAGTAAAAATACATGACATTGCAAGAACTGAGCTTACGTAATCAGTACTGCTGCTGTTTTACAAAAGTGACATTAAATAAATATGGTTTGGCAATGTAAGTGAGCGATGCCTGGAAGTATGAGTCAAAACAGGAAACATACGAACACGAGTGACACGTGTTGTTCTGCTCTTTAAAGACTATAACACAAGATTGTATTGACTGAAATAGTACACTAGGGCTAAGATGTACGACCTACATCCTAACAGTGCAGCAGATAATAGAAAAAGTGGATACTAAATATGGACGTTTGTCCCTCTGGAGCCATTGACTTAAAAATCAATTAGCCTCTTGAATCTGAGCATTTTTTAAATTTCATTTCCTTCTTAGAAAATGACTCTTTATCAAAATTTTTACTGTGGGATTTAGAGGTTTTACTCTACTTTTGAATATAAATTAGTCACTTTTAATAGTGAATTTATTTAGGGCCTCTTTTTTTAGGCCAAATAAAAGAACTGAGACAACATATATGTCACATGTTTTTCCAATGGTCCAATGACAGCTGTAGCTCCACAGTGCTGTGCGGATTGAGGGATGATCCTTTTGCCCTTTTGATAACTCTTCTGATGAATACAAACGGGTTCAGACATCTTCTTTTAACCACTTATCCAGTGAAGAAATCCCAAACATTAGGTGTGAGGGTACAAGCATGTCTTTGGATAGCTTCAACCCTATAACCTTCGTGCTGCAAAGTGACTGATGCACTACTGTTGTGTGCTACTCCTCAGTTTGTTCAGACTGAAGGAGCTGGGTATTGAACCACAGACCTTCTAAATGGTTAAGGAGTGTAAGGGTTTCTATCCAAGAGATGTGCCTGAAACAAAGAAAAATATTACTTGTACACAAAATGCTGCAGTTTTTTTAAACCTCTGTGTAATTTCAGATTTTTAATGCTGACTTCTAGCGTTCATCATTAAAAACATCCAAAAAAGGCGGAACCAGTTTACTTTATCTGAAAAAAATACACATTTTCAGCCATTGTGGAAATGGCCAACATGTTGAATTTATTGAGCTTAATCGATAAAAGCTAAAAAGTACATAAACAAATGTTAGTACATGTTTACACTTGTGAATGATTATCTTGTAATGTTCAGTCATCTGTTATATTAAAATAGCTCATCATATCTCATATAATTAGCATTAGCATAACTGTTACATAATTTTCATCATTATTTCTTTTTGAAGTGCCCTGTCATAGTATTCTCATCTCAGTATTTTTATCCTTGTGTCTGAAACACTCTCCTTCCAGCCTAGCAACAAACAGATAGGGTTAGCAAATAAACCGTGTATACACAGTGAAGCAATTAGCAGACTCAGCAAATATACAGAAATATTTTTTAAAAAACAGCTGAACGCTGAACTATTTGAGGTCACCGTAAAGGTTTTTTTTATTGATTCTGATTGTGTAAATAGGTATGTAAAAGTATGTCAATATTGTATTTACTGCTCTTTGCTGATCTCAAGTTTTCAAAATATTTCAAATTTAAATAATTCAGCTATGTGCACAGATTTTAATAAGCCGTTATCACAACACTGAAACAACATGTTTCGTTTGAGCCAAACACCTGATCTTTGATTTGTTTTGTCCACTCTCTAGAACTCCAGTTCAGACCACCGGATCCAGTTGGATCTTGGCCTGTGGGACAAGTTCAGCGAGCTGGCCACCAAGTGCATCATCAAGGTGGTCGAGTTTGCCAAGCAAGTGCCGGGTTTCACTGGCCTGACCATTGCGGACCAGATCACTCTGCTCAAAGCCGCCTGCCTTGACATCTTGGTAGGTCTATTTCAAAAGATGTTTTTTGTTTGTTTGTTTTTACCTTTAGATTTGTGGTTTAAGCCCTCAAAAAGCCTGACATATACTATAGTTTTCATTAAACACCTACCGTTTTGTATTTTATTTCAGGTAAATGACCTGAACAAGTTATGTAAAGTTGCAGCTCTTCCTGCATTTCACACCTTTGGTAGATCTTGACTCACGTTGCCTGTCGACATTCATGCCAAAGACAAACTGACAGGCAGACAGACAGTGGTCCTCAGGCAGAGTGTTGCGTGTGTTCATCTAATTTATCCTCCATCATTCGCTGCCAAGTCTGTCATAACTGCTTTCTCAGTCTGATAATTTAGCTGCACTCTCACAATCTCTGCAGGAAGTCCATCAAAAGCTCTGTGACAAAATTTCCCTGATTAATCACTCTGGGAATTTTGTTTTCCTGATTTGGTTTTCATGTTTTTTGATAGAAGTGTGATGCACCATATTGAATTATTATAATAATTATATATTATTTAATATTTGTATTCAAGCAATTCTCCAGAAACAGGGCACAGCATGTAATATTATTTAAAGCTTAGATGACAAGGAGTTGGAGAGATGTCTAGAGTGGTCTGCTGTTACTCATACAGATGAGATATCATTACAAAGAAATGAACAACTGGAAAAGCCTGAGTATTAAAAGCAGGAAGATTTCTTTCTAAACTATTATGCAATATAAGTATTGAACCATATGATAAAGATCTTCTGCCTGCAATACGGACAAATTTAGAATGATAAGGATTGACACATTTTAACGAATATAAACAGATTGTTGTTTGTTTGCTTTTGAGTCTTTTTATTTAACATTTTTTAAAGACAAATACAATATTATTGAAAAAAATGACTTGGTACACATACATGTTTCCTACTTTTAGATTTTGAGGATTTGCACTCGCTACACTCCTGACCAGGACACCATGACCTTCTCCGATGGCTTGACACTGACTCGTACTCAGATCCACAATGCAGGATTTGGGCCGCTGACGGATCAGGTTTTCACTTTTGCTGGGCAGCTGCTGCCGCTAGAGATGGATGACACGGAAAGTGGGCTCCTCAGTGCCATCTGTCTTGTTTCTGGAGGTACTAAGTCTTCACAATCCCAATTACATTTGTAGTAGTAGGACAACAACAATCAACAATTAACAACTCCAAATTTGAAATTGTTGAAATGTTCGATATCTGTCTTGGACAGACCGGGAGGATCTGGAGGAGCCGTCCAAGGTAGAAGTCCTGCAGGAGCCTCTGTTGGAGGCGCTGAAGATCTACTCCCGTAAGCGGCGACCCAGCATGCCCCTGATGTTCCCCAAGGCCCTCATGAAGATTACCGACCTACGTAGCATCAGCGCTAAAGGTCAGGGGAACCCCACCTTGTCGCAAAGTATTTCAATTCATAGATTACAGTTTGTTACAGTTTGTACAATCCTGCTATTCTATTTTGAATGACTGCCAATGTTACTGCATTACTTTTGTCCGAAATGTAAAACCTTTCTGATCAGAACGTTGCTATTTTTTGGTTTCTTTGCGCTATTAAGTCTGAAGTCATGTTTACCCAGGATTAGTAAAAAGTATTATGTATTAGATGAATGTCACATGATTAAGCATTCGTATTAGTATACTAAGTATTAGCAAGCGTTTAATTTATCATTTATATAGCATCACTCCTCCTTAGTATGTAATTTATAAATATAGCTATATTATTATGAAAATGTTTATTACTAGAAATCATTATGCATTGGAAGGCCCCTGTAGCTGTGCATGGTGTAACAGAAACAGATGAATAAACATATCTGTATTTATAAATGACATACTAAGGAGGAGTATTGCGTTATAAATCATGAATTAAGCACTTGCTAATGCCTTACTAATACTGTACTATTTTTATAAAGTATTACCTGCATTTTTTATTGACTATACTTCTTTAATATTTAAAAGTTTTTCTAAGACAAACAAAAAGAAAACAATTTACTCCTCCTATCATCTTTTTGGCTTTTGAAATGTTTTTATTTATTTATTTATTGTTGAATTCCTCTGGATAAAAACCGGGTGGAAATAACTTTGAGTTTAGTGGAATTTTCTTTGACTGTTTTCAAATCTTCCTTTTCTCAAAGTGCTTTCATCTACACAGTGTTTGTTGAGTGTCTCACAGTGAATTTGCTGTCATCAGTGGCTGCCTGCTACAGAACTAGTGTTACTATTAATAGGCTACCACATAATAGTTGAGCAAAGTGTTCTTTGCCTCATCCTGCAAGGCATGTTATGCATTTCATCCTCCTCTTAGTGTAACCGGTGGGTTCCTACATTGTGTATCTGACACACTCCAGTTCCTCTCCCACAGGGGAATTGTAGCTGTGCATTTATTTTCACATTAAACATAAAGTACAAACTTATGTGCAGCATATTTGACACAAGATAAAAACCAACACAACATTTGACATGCCTGACAATCAAAGGTGAAAGCTGGTGTCAGTAAATACGGGTAAAACGCAGACTTTGTTTATCTATATCACATTAAGTCTCCCTGCCAATAAAGCTTTACACGTGCATTGTTAAACCATGTCTACAGGAGCTGAGCGAGTGGTGACACTGAAGATGGAGATCCCGGGCTCCATGCCTCCACTGATCGAGGAGATGCTGGAGGATCTGCAGAACCTGGAGAAACACCAGAAGTCGGGCACCACTCAGCACACTCACCCCGTCTCCTCACAGCACATGAACTCTGCTGATTTTCCACTCTGAAGCTGCTCAAAGAACTTTTCTTTCCTCCGAGGGAAATCGCTCAAAGGTGCAGCTGCAGATCAGAGAGTGACTTACCTCAGTTATTGTCCAGAGGTCAGAGCTCGATCTGCAGATATGACTCCATGTTTAAAGAAGAGATTTAAATCACACATTAACAAGTATTTCTGTAAACAAAAATCCTACTTCAAAGGAAGATGCAGTAATGCTTTAATCTCCATTTTTATAACCTCTGAGAATCACTCTCAGTGTTTTCTTTACTGTTTCTGGTTTTTACTGTATTTATATTTGCATGAAATATCACATGGATTAATTTTACCTCATTTAGCATTAGTTATAGCAAGATAGTAAATATAAGGAATCAATCTTTAGGTTTTATATACAAATTTCTCAAACTCAGTTTGTACAAAATTAAAGGGAAATGCAATGTTTTTTCCTCCATAAGGGTAAGTGTTCATAATCGGAGTTAACAAACTAATGTGTCTGAACTGACACGGTGTAGAAAATGAGGGATTAGAGGTAATGCATAAGGACAATAAACATAGCAGTGTTTGTATGAGCTTGTCAATGTTAGAATCTCTTTGTGAAGCTGCTGTGGTAAAATTTGTTGGAAATCTGCTGGACTCGTTTACAGCTTGACAGATTTAATACAAGAGTAAGCTAATGATAATATACAACTTTATTCTCTTTTTTACTTTCTAAATGGAAAAAGGTTTTCCCACTATTATCATAAAGCATATTATTGGGGCTGGATATTATTGTTATTATTATTTTGATACTGAGAAAACATGGTGGTTGCTGTATGAAGATTGTAAAAAAACATTTCCTAGATTTTCAGCCATGATTGTGCTGTGGCACCACTCTCCTTAACTTTCTCTGTAGTGCCAATATCAGGTGAAAAATATTTTTGATCGCTATTTAAGGAGGACCTATTGTGCTCGTCCTTATTTCTTGTCATATCTGTACTCTTACAGTGATAGATGCTTATATTAAAGATGGCTAAAAATTTTAAATATTGAGGTCTGAGCCAAAAGTTCAGGCTTCCTACAAACAACTGTTTTTTTGTTTGGTTTTTGGTTATGGTTTTTTATACTTTTGGCACAGCTTCAGCCATGAGCACAGAAACTTTGTCTTGAGAGGGGCAGCCAATCCGAAGAAAGAGGGAAGGGAGCTAAAATGTCCTGTTTAAGGTGGTCAGTGAACTGAGGGGCCAGTATAAGATAAATGTGTGAATCATACTCTAATGGAGTCCAATAATAAAAGTATTTAACTGGAAATGAGCATAATCACTTAATGATAAAATACCTGCAAAGCTGACATTTCCATCAGCATGTGAATAATAATAGCCTTCTGTGAGTGTGTTAGCATTCAGATGTTCACATTTATCTTAAGGCGCTTAGCTGCTAGCATGGCTAAATGCCAGTTTCTGTAAGTCGTAACGAACTTGCTTTGCACACAGAGTGGACCGTGGGCATTACAGTGACAGTATCACAGCATCTGAAATCTGAGTGATCATAAATCCACACAAATGCTAACAAAATGCAACAAATGATGAGACTGTAACAAATTAGAAACTAATGTGATGATTTCACATTAAAGATACACGGACCTTAACCTGCTTTGTGTAAGCATCTGAGCAAGCATCCCGTGTACTGTAAGAACTCAAATGTGCCTATTTTAATTGTGCCCAAACTTTTCTATGTCTTGACATTTCTAAAAGTGATTTTACTTATTTTGATGTCCACATCCCAAACGTTGCAGTAAGACTGTATGCATTGTGTCATTTTACATGTTGCATTAATTTGTTATATCACTAAACAGATCACATTTCATATGCTTTTCTTTGTTCTATTAAAGTCTTGTGAATTAAATTTTATGCTGCTCTGTCATGTTTCCACTGAGAATGTAAGTATTTCTTTTTCTGGTTCAAGTTTAATTTCATGGGGCTGTGAGGTTGTTTGAGGTCAGACCATATTTACTCTAAAGGCTCATACTGCCCCCTGTTGATCAATTGATGAACTGCATGCAGCAGTAAATAATTTTATCTGATGACGTGTCCTAAGTGGGTGCAAAATTTAGAGTAAGTCTACGTTAGAGACTGTTGTCTAACATATTTTATCACTTTGATAAAATGGAAAAAGCAAATAATTACAGACCAAATAAGAATAAAATCACCACTGTACTTATTTCCCTTTCTTTGTGTTTTGATAGTTGTGTGTCCTTTAAATTTCTTTAATGTTTCTTGTTTGTGTTTGTCTTTCCCATTACTGGTCTGTGTTTTTCATTTCTGTTGCATTTTTGACCCCTCAAAAACAAGTCCATCATCATCTCAGTGGGTTGTTATAGTAATGAATAAATTTTAATTAGTCTGAAGTTTCAGCAAATCTGATTTACGTGTATGGGAAAATTAAATGAAACTGAAATTGTGTAATTAACAGTTAAACCCTGACTAAGCTGCAAGCAAACCTAATGTGCATGACAGTGATTCCTTTATGTTACTGAAGAATGGATTCTTTCCAAACGAACCTCCATCAGTATCAATGATGGAAAGCTCTTAATATTTCCCATTTAATCCTATTGTGTACTTACAATTGTCAACTAAACATAAAGGAGATATATTGTGATTTTTTACTCTCTATATTACTTTATGATAATAGATTAGCTTAGATAACACACACACACACCAGTTAAAAATATATACTAGTATACTAGCTAGTTTTCTGTCATACTTTTATTTTTGTTCAATATATATTGCTGACAATAACTACTTATTTGCAATGAAGATCTTTATTTAGCTCCGAATTTTTGTACTTTTACTTCATCTGACTGCTTCTGCCATCACTGTTCATTTGAGTCAATCAATATCAAACCTGCACATCTTGATGCATGTTCAATCATCCAGATAAGTAAATCTCCAAAAGTTGATTCTGTTCATCTGAACGTAGCATTTTCAGTGGGAGAAATGTTTCGTCACTCATCCAAGTGACTTCTTCAGTCTCAGCTGACTGCAGGTTTCCTCAATCTTATAAACAGTACATTGCATAATGACTGAAACCAGCCCAGTTAAGGATTTATACATCGGGGAAACCGAACAACCTCTGGTGAAGCAGATGGCGCAACACAGAAGAGCTACCTCGTCAGGGCAGGACTCTGCAGTCTATTTACACCTACAGGCCAGTGGACACTCTTTCAATGATGAGGATGTAACATCCTGGACAGGGAGGAACGCTGGTTTGAGCTCGGAGTCAAGGAGGCCATTTATGTGAAAAGGGAAAGACCATCTCTGAATCGAGGAGGGGGCCAAAGGGTACATCTTTCGCCATCTTACAATGCTGTGATTGCAGCCATTCAGTCAATATGCAATTTATTGTTTATAAGATTGGGGAAACCTGCAGTCAGCTGAGACTGAAGAAGTCACTTGGATGAGTGACGAAACGTTTCTCCCACTGAAAACATCCAGATGAACAGAATCAACTTTTGGAGATCAAACCTGCACATTTTATGCACTAAATTCACCTTCAACATGAATAGCCCTCACAGCACATCAAAAGAATACACAATATTCATATTAATATTAAAACATTACAGGCAGACATTTGCTGAATTAAATAATGTTTATTAATACAAACATTTAAATAGTTTTATACAGATAACAGTGAGTCAAAGTGCAAAAGAAAGCTTTTCTTCAGCTGTCAGTCATATTTTAGATCTTCTTTATAGTAAAAATGCTGATTGAGTGCATTTTATTACAGTGCAAAACATTTGACCTGTTTTTTTTTTCTCTTTCAAATCCAGTCAAAAATTGTGATATGTTGAATTAAGGTCAATGTGCTGCATCTTATCAGTTCTTAGAAAGCAAACAAGGTCACTGTGGCTTGCAGCCACTAGAAAAACACATGCTGTGACATGCAGTGTCTGGGCCTGAGAGTATAAAGTGCTTCAAAAAAAGCATTTTAAACAAGTTTTAAATTTTGATTTTGAACTGAGAATAGAATAACTGTCAGTCTCAAACTTAATTACATCCGTATCTATCTGTAGATATGTATATATATTCATATATAATATATCTTTGGAAATTCATACAGTCAATTCACATTTATGGGGAAAAGAGACAACAATAATGCCTGAGATCAAAAGAGTAGGTGACAACATGACTATGAGCACTGTGGTAAAATATCACTGTAATCATGTTTATGTGCAAACAAATTAATGTATGCATTTACTACTTTTATATTCTTTTTATGTTCAATGAGAATATGTTTTGTAATGAGGGTTGGGATAAATGTTCATTAGATTTCAAGCAGTGTTGAAGTATCATTGTGAACTCATTCTTCTCCAAATAAATTTAAAGTTTGAGTTTTTAGGGATGAGTGAAGATAACTGTTACTTTTTTTCTTGGTCATTTCTTTTCTTTCTGAGCCTAAAAGAAAAAAAGAAAAAAAGAAAAATTAAAGAAATCTTTATTTCGTTTCAAACAACTGTCCCACTAAACTTAGTTTGGAATAACAAAAGGAAAAGAGACTAACATACGGTAAAGGTTTCAGATAATGGCCCCATTATATATATAAGTAATCTCTGAACCAAATGCTCAGGCTTCAGACTGCCTTAAACACTCAGTTTGAAACAGGTTTTTTCTACTCCTTTCTACGTTTCTACTTCTGATGTAAAATAGACTGGATATCCCTAATATCCATACACAGTATCCATAATCACATACTGTGTATGCTACCGTTGTATAGAGTGTAATATCTTACTTCTTTTATATTTGTTTGTAATTTATTTGTATTTTTTGTATTTTCCTACTGATATCTGTACCTGAGCTGAGGTATTATCTTAATATGGTCTTCTCAGTCATTCAGCTGCAGTTATAAATACAGAAGCCCCACCCACCTGCGGTTCCAAATGTTTGCTTGAGAGGGGCAACCAATCAAAAGAAAACTTGTTCAAAGGAGGCAATGTTAAAATAGCTAGTTTCAGACAATGGATAAACTGAGGGACTGCAACAAGGCCCAACATAAGACAAACAAAGAGTTGTTGTTTTTTTTAACTGTAAATCATGCAAAAATAAAAAGTTGAAAATCAGCATAATAGTTCATTTACATTTTGTAGCCACAGAAACAAAGTAATTACTGCTATTGAAATGAAATTCATTAAAGGTTTGTGGGCGCTGAACAAGACAAGTCATGATAATAATGAATTGTCTTGAACTAGTTTTTAGAAAAGCTCAAGCGCTAGATTTTGTGAGTCTAATGTTTCAGTTAAATACATCATTTCCAGTTTACCTGCTGTTTGTTGGTTCATAGTAGCTATTCTCATTCAGCAGTTCCTCAATGATCGCCTGAAAACATTCGAACAAAACACCATGTCAGAGGCCGCAGACAGAAGTTCAGTATCATGATGAAGTTGAAATTAAAACACTGTTCCAAAATGAGACCCATCTGTGGGAGAGTCAACACCTGCAGTTGTAAAGTAATACAGATCCATAAAATTGAATTTTAATGAAATAATAGTTGGCACTATGCCATCAGCAAACTATTTATTCTCTGAATAAATTTGTTGTTCACCAACCAGCCTACATTGGCACTATGCCTCTGCAGGAGGACCTACACGACATTTATACAAACAATAGTTTAATTGTTTTTCAATGCAGTTTTACATAGACTTATATGCCAAATATGACTTTTATTTTTAGCTAGCAAAAATTGTTCCTATTAGAAAGATTCCTGAGTTTCTCACCACCAACCTGCATCTGGTGATATGTAACTCCATCTCTGAGATTCACATCAACTGTCAACACAAAGAAGAGACAAAGTATTTATTTATTTATTTTTACATCAGAATTAACTTGCAATTCTACTTCTGCATAAGATGCTCTGCTTGTCTTTTACTGGAAATTTATGGTGAAGTTGGGCATTGATGGCACTACCTGTGCTGTCAGCGGTATGGATGTCTCCCGTGAAGTGGTGGATCCAAGGCCACCAATCTGAACTGATTGAACCAAATGCCATCAGCTCTGGAGACGCCTGGACGAGCTGAGAGCCAAGAAGAGGAGAGACAAACACCGTTAAGTTCTGCCTGATTTTATGAAGTGATTCTTACAAGACATTTGTAAGGTACACCAGCACAGAGCAAGACTTCCTGTAAACTGAGTAGTGGAACAAAGTAGACTCAACTGTATGCAATAAAAAAAGATTTTTAAGAAATATTTCATTTTGATTGTGCAGAGAGCTCCTCAGTTTCTGACTCTTGAGTTATTTTGCACGGTGATTTCAGTGATTTCACAAAGCTTTTAAGGTTGGTGTTAATGCCCTCTTTTATGAGATATGTTTAAACGTCTCTGAAATTAGTTTAAAAAATGTCCAGTCCAAAAATGTCTCACATTATCAGATCATTAAAGAAAGAAGCTTTACAGTAGAAGTTGTGCCAAGCTAATAAAAATGTTCTGTACTCAGGCTATGCTTTAATCTTCCTTGTAATTACAGGGAGAGATGCTTACTATTTAATATCATCTATGAATGAACTGAGAGCAGATTTATCACGAGACATTGTTTATCAGGTAACCTAGCCATTGCTGGTCTCATGTTTTTATTTTTCATTAATCATGGCAGCAGAAGAGACACAGACAGGTGAGCTCTGATCTCATAATGAAAATATTTTGCCATTGGTTCAGGAGCTGAATTAAAATTCATGCAGGAACATGTTTTTGATGGTAGACTTAAACATCACTCTGTTATCAAACTCCTTCCCTGTGGTTTATCATATCATGAAAGTGAAAGGACAGAGCTACAGGACCTCAGGTGTGGCTTTAAAATAGCTGACAGCAGCTTCTATGGTGGGTATATTAAATGTGTTCTGGCGGCCTAGCACACATGGAATGAAGTCATAAACTGCATCCATCGAGGAGCACGGGGTGCAGTGCAGAGTGAAACAATGCTGGCTTTGTGTGATGTTATGATTTGGATTTTTTTTTTTTTTACATCAAGATGGTGAAACTGCAAAATGAAAGCATTCCTTCACAGAGCTGTGTTTAAGAAGCTTTTACTGCAGTAGTTACAGTAAATGTAGCCCAGACATGTTCTGTTGTATCTGTTGTAATCTTCTTGTTTGATATTTGTCTTATGCTTCTGAGTATTTTCCTTTCTCACATCTTTCGCCTGTTCTGTGTGAGTTGCCT